TCCAAAAACATAGTCTGAAAAATGCAGATCTCCAATGAACAAAGTTCCCATAGTCATTTACATTTGGAAACCAGTGCTCCTCTAGGATATCTGTGGTGCACATCAGCATATTAAAGTCTCACATGAATTCTTAAGAAAAGAATCCCAATCATCTTTGGTTAGGGCAGCAATTTTCCACACTGGTTTAACCATGGAGCTCCGATTCTTCCAATACCAGCCAATCTTCCCTAAAACTAGCACTATGCCATGATGGACTGACTCTAACCAGTCTCATTAGACTTTAACCAGGTACACTAAGCTAGGATGTAAAGGTGGAAAGCCAGGTTTTCATTTGCAATGACAACTAGGATGGATGACAACTAGGATGGATGACAACTAGGATGGATGAGAACTAGGATGGATGAGAAATGCCAATGATATCAAAGAAATACTTGAATATTTCTCCCTCTCCAGCTTCATTTTGCCTTATAGGTAGAGCTGCTTGGGAAGCCAAGCCAGAACTCGTTTCAGGAGTACTTTATCATGCAGGGAGGGAGCGTAGAAATAGAGAAGGCAAATCTAGGAGTGCCAGAGGAGCAGTGCCTTCATCTCCTGCGTACAGATTAAACTCACGTGGACCCACACCCAGAACACTGCAACAGCTTCCTAACTGACTTCAGCTTCCAGCATCACCCCATCCAACCCCTTTTCCACTCTGCCACCAGAGGCAGTTTAAATATATATATATATACACACACACACACACACACACACACACACACACACACACACACACATAAACTTCTAATTATGCCAGTTTGCTGTTTCAGATTCTTCATTGGATCCACCATGCAATCAAAACCCAAACTCCTTCACATGGTCTCCAAGCCTCACATGATGAGCAGGCTCCTCCTCACTCTTCTACCATGGCTCCTAGTAGTACATTTCAGCCAACCATCATCTTTCAGTTTCTTAAGCAACTATGCACTCTCTTGCCTCAGTCTTCACGTATCCTTCTCACTTGCCTGAAGCATTTCTCTCCACCTCCTTTTCCACGTGGACAACTGACTCCTCTCTTGACGACTGCTTATGTCTCACTTCCTTCAGAGAACCTCCTTATTTTCCACCCACTAAATGTGGGCTAGGGCCTCCTCCCTGAAACTCCCCTCAGTACCCTTTACTTCCTTTGTCAGAGATGGCTAACACTGTGTCATAATTATCTGTTCACCTTTTAGCGTCTGCTGCTGCGTGTTTACTTGACTCGTAGTTATTAGACAGTTGCCTAATCAACATTTGTACCCATGTCTTGAGTGGCAACATAAAATAGCACACTTACAACATTCCCAGAGGACAAGAAGCTAGGGAGAATATTAAATATATTAAATGCATTCTAAGGGATTAAAATTATCTGAGGAGCATGGAGCAGTGAACCAAACTTAATAAGAAGAAATTTAATACATGCAAAGTCTTAATATCGAACTAAACAGAAGAAAATAATCACACAAATAGATACAGCCAAATAGCAACATGAGTGGGTGACTTGCAGAGGCCTCAACTGAATTTTGATGCACTGTTGCTAGAAATAACATTAGAATGTGTTTTAAGGGAGGCCAAGACAGGTGGATTACCCAAGGTCAAACGTTCAAGACCAGCCTGACCAATGGTGAAACCCTGTATCTACTAAAGAAAAAAAAAATTAGCCTGCTGTGGTGGCATGAGCCTATAGTCCCAGCAACTCAGGAGGCTGAGACAGGAGAACTGCTTGAACAATGGGGTCCAAAGGGACCGGGCATCCTGCACAGGATTTCTGTGTGAAGACAAAGGAAGCCATTCGAGTATGGCAGGGTTGCAGTAAGCCGAGATTGCACCACTGGACTCCAGCCTCGGTAACAGAGCGAGACTCCAGCTCAAAAAAAAAAAAAAAAAAAGAATGTGTTTTTTTAAGGGTTTTGCTTTATCAGATGCATAATATAAATCAACAGTAAGTTAAGAGTATCTAAGACACTAATAATATCTTGAGCTGAAATATTAGAAATATGTTATTTATTTTAAAAGATGTAATGTCATTTTTTTTGTTTTGTTTTGTTTTGTTTTGTTTTTTCTGGAAAAACCACAACTAGAGTAACGTACTTAATTCCAAAATAACACTTCAAAAGAGAAATTGACAAAATGGAATATATTCCAAAACAGAGTGATGGATAAAAGTTCTGGAAATAACTTCTTAATAACAGTTAAATAGGCCAGATGTGATGGCTCACGCCTGTAATCCCAGCGCTTTGGGAGGCTGAGGTGGGCAGATCTCCTGAGGTCAGGAGTTCAGGACCAGCCTGGCCAACATGGTGAAACCCCATTTCTACTAAAAATTAAAATAAATAAAAATAATACAAAAATTAGCCGGGCATGATGGCAAATGTCTGCAATCCCAGCTACTCAGGTAGCTGAGGCAGGAAGAATTGCTTGAACCCAGGAGGCAGAGGTTGTAGTGAGCCAAGATCTCACAACTGCACACCAGTCTGGGCAACAGAGCAAGACTCTGTCTAAAAAACAACAACAAAAAAGTTAAATAAATGGAGAATGTTTTACTCAGAAAAAAACAAAAAACAAAAAACCCTAAGAATAGTCTTTAAATACTTAGAGAGTGCCAGATAAAATAAATAAGAGGACTTCTTCTATATTTATCCAGAAATCAGAACGAGGACCCCTGGTTAGAAAAATTACAAGGAAACAGATGTCAGTTTATCTTAAGATAAATTTTCGAATAATTAGAGTTGTTTAAAAATGGACTCTTTGCTCTCTGAAAAAATGAGTTCCCTGTTTGAATGGAGGTTAGAAGACCAAGTAGCAGGGCTCTCATGAAAATGTTTTGTAGTTCTACCAGATAGCTGAGAAAATGCTATTGCTGTTATGTGAGATTCTGTAAGGTTGGAATATCGTTATATTCCTTCTATTGGTGCTGGTAAATGGAGAACTGACAAAACCCATTTCTAAGGACCTGGGTTTTTAGCTATTCTTAAAGAAATTATTAAAAGGCCCTGTGCTAAGAAAGAGGACCAGAGGAGTTTATTGCTAAGGTCCTTTTCAATGGGGACATTTGTGCTTCTCCAGCTCACTCTTGGGCTGGTTTATCACTGGGGATTGCGGCCTTAATAAGACCAGAGAACTCAGGAGAAAGACAGCTTGGAATAGAGTGGTCTAGAGAATTAAACATCTTTAGCTCACAGCATAATGGAAAGAAAGTGCCCTTCAGGGGGACATGTACTACAACAGGGCTCTGAGATGAGGTAAAAATAAAACTGCATCCTGCACTTTCTGCTTGCTGTAACGCTGTAGGCAGAGTAACTTGTGGAGCACCGTTCCATGTGAAGTGTCTGTCACAGCTTAGGGGCAGTGAGCCACAGTAAGCCTATGACCCTCTATGTGCCAGGCATAGAGCCAGACCCACTGCATCGTTATCTCATTGAGCCTTCGTAGACGTTCTCAGGGTATTAGTATTCTCATTTTGAATTAGAAAAATCAGATTCTGAAAGGTAAAGTACCTTAATGAAGTAATTTTGAGACCTGAGATTCAAACTCAGGATTGCCTGAACTATGAAACGCTCAGCAATGTTTCAGGGACTCCTGGACTTTAGGACCAAGGAGGGTGTTAAAGAGTCCAACTCCTTGGTTTTGATTATGGAACACAATGGGGTCCAAAGGCACCAGGCATCCTGCACAGGATTTCTGTGTGAAGGTAAAGGAAGCCATTCAAGTATGGCAGGAAGATGCCCCAGCATGGGCACAAGCTCAGCAGCTGTGCTTTCTGCACACACGGTGCTTACAGCAAATCATGCATCAGGCAGGGGCAGGGAGGGGGAGGGCAAGAGGCCAGGGTACCCCTGCCCACCCTCCTACCTTCCCACCCAACGTTCTCCCCAATAGCCCTTTAAAACACCAAGTGCACATGCAGAAACCAGTCTCTAGACTACATCTTCTGAAGTACAGTGAGGACAGGGAGTTAGGATGACCCTCCCGTTCAGTGATCATTCATAGAGGGGAAGGGGAAAAGGGCAGGAGGAGAGCTGACTTTCATGTGTCAGACCCTTTGCTAAATGCCTGCATACGTGTCATCTCATGCCATCTCCTGTCACATTCCTGTAAGAGGCTGAACATGTTAGGCTATGAAATGAATGTTAGCGTCCCCATTCTATGATGAAGAAATCAATTTAAGTAACATATACAAAGTTAGACAACTAATAAACATGTAACTGACATTTACACTCCTGAAAAACCTGTACATGGAAATCAAAAGGAAAACCTGTAAATGTCGGCATCAGACAGTCCAGGTTGTGACTTTTGAATTGGCTTATCAGAAGCTAAGGAAAGCTGAGGACAGTTTCTGTGTAACTGAAAACAATCACACTTATCTCACAGAAATGTCAGCATTGTTTCTCCAGGCCTGCTCCCTCTCTTCCCTGCCTTTGAGAGATGAGATCTACTTTTAGAATTACAGAGGGCGGGGGCGTTTGACCCTTCTTGAGGTAAGAGGAGAATTTTGGATTAATGGCTAACTTTGTCCTTCGAACGTCCCCCTGAGGCTTTGTCAGATTTGATTCCCCCCTTTTGAAAGATAAGAAAATTGAAGTGGCTATTCCCTGCTTCTGCCTGGTTAGTCACAAAGTGAGGCAGGGACATGATGGGAAGCTCCCAACATAACGAAAACCAGCATGAGACTGAGAACCCTGAGACTTCAACTCTGGCCCTAGCTTCTCTGTATCTGGATCTCCCAGACAGGCGTCCGTCTATCCCACAGTGAGTGCCGTGTGGACTGAAACAAGATCAAAGGTGGAAAAAGCTTTAAAAAGCTCACTTCAAAAACAAGAGGCTGACTCTTGAGACTGTGTTCCCCCACCCCCGCCTTGTGCAGAGTTTCATTCAGCAGACCTTGCTGCCTGCCTTCTTCAGGAAAAATAGTCTTGTTGTTGAGTTTGTGTTTAAACTAAAGTTAGTTTATTATTTTCTTCAATTGTTTTTCTTGTTCATAGACTTTCTTAATGTCACGAACGTTCACCTGTTCAAGGAGCGATGGGACACCAACAAGGTGGATCACCACACTGACAAGTATGACAACAACAAGCTGATTGTCCGCAGAGGGCAGCCTTTCTACATGCAGATCGACTTCAATCGTCCGTATGACCCCAGCCGGGATCTCTTCAGGGTGGAATATGTCATTGGTGAGTGCCATGTGCAAGCCCCAGTCTTGACATCATGGGTACAGGCACAATTGTGTGACCTTTTAGTGTCATACATCAACAGCGAAGGAAGTTGGAATGACATCCATCCCCTGAATCACCCTGTGCTCTAAGACTGGTCTGTATAATGCCAAACATTAATAACTTGGGCCCACCCAAGGGAAAATCTCATATAAATAAAAGTAAGTACAATTGGTACAAAGTATTGCTTACCTAAATTATTCTTCCTCAAACAATGGTTTTGGTGTCCTATAGTTGTGATTTTTATCTCCATGATTTAATTGGTCTCATGTGCTGAAAACGTTTGCACATCTTCGTATTGTAAAAGATTTATATATCTTTTACAATACAAAGGCATCTTTGTATACATGTACATATATGTACAAACCACGTATGCATTCCCAAAGTTAGTTCTGCTCTGATCTAGTCCCATGGGATGGCCCATGAGAAATGGATCATCCAATAAGCTTCACTAAACACTAGGTACTTT